TATTATAAATCATAAAAAGTGTGTGGGCTGAATTCTGAATCAATACAAATCATAATTAATTGGCAAGAATGTTTTCCTACAAAGATGAATCAAGTCCCTGGATTCAACTTCCAAATTTCCCATCAGTGTGATTCAGAAACGGATTAGTCGGAGAAGTCAGAGAAACGCATGGTGGTTCTGATCACAAACAGCGCATAGATTTGTGTAAAGTGCAATACCAAAGTGCAAGAACCCATAAATAGCATCAGTGTAAACATTAGCATAAGACATTCAGTGCAACAACTCTACTGTACTGTCATACGCAGTAACAGTCATAGCAGCATCATAAAGGGCATTATGAATTTTGTATAATCCAATGTTACTGTATTGGTGGGTGAGGTTATGGTCCATGGATGGAGGCAGAGGGGGGGAAGTGGGGACTGAGGGTACAGGCTGTTGGTCAATCTTGTTGTTCTGGCCTGTATGGACCTGTACTTTCTACCCATAGATTGTATATGTAAATGGACATAGCTCCAATTAACTTTACACTGAAAAACGTCACCCCTCTCTCTGTAACTGCGGCTGTCAGGCTCCTCATTTTGGTCTACTTGATCCCGGTGTTTTTATTTTCATATTTTGTCCGTAAATGAGCTGTGAGCTTCATTTGACTAAAGCCATTCCCTTAGACTTAAACAAACGTTACTGATCCACAAGGTAAATTATTTGGACACAGTAGCTCACACATCAGAGTAAAGAATAAAACATATAAATGGTAATAATCAATTCTAAATAAGTAGCAGAAAAGAGCAAGAGACAGGTGTCAAATAAGACGTAATTATAAAAAAACAATGTACAAGTCAAAATAAAATAGAAAGATAAGTCATCAAATTTAAAAAAAGTGCAACAATGATATGATGATTGACAGGACATAGGGTTATCCGATACATATGGGTAAGTTGTTGTACAGTTGTAGGGAGTATTATCTGTTACATAAGGGGGAGCTGTACATTTGTATGGAGTAAGGTATGAATGTAGTCCTGTATCTCGCACTGTTTGAACGGAGCTATAGGAGCCTGCTGGAGAATGAGCTCTTCTGTCCCTCTATAGTCTGGTGCAGTGGGTGAGCAGGAGTGTCTATGATGGAGAGCAGTTTGTCCAATGTCCTCCTGGCTCTCACTGTGACAAATGTCCCCAGCTCACAGCTGATCACGTGACCAGCTTTACGGATCAGTTTGTCAATCTGCCCAATGTCCCTTTTACTGGTGCCGCTTCCCCAGCAGACTACAGTGAGTAGAAGATCTCCAGTAACTAGCTGCACACATTGAAAGACCTGAGCTTTCTCAGGAAGTAGGTTTTACTCATGCTCTTCTTGTACACAGCATTACAGTTGTCCCTCCAGTTCAGTCTGTTGTTCACATGGACGCCATAGTACTTGTAGCAGTCCACTATTTAATCGTCATGGCCCTGGATGGTGACAGGCTCCACTAGTGTCCTATTTCTCCTGAAGTTAATCACCAGTTCCTTGGTATTGTCAACATTCAGGAGCAGATGTCAGTGCAGAGTCATCAGAGACCTTCTGCAGATGGTAGGACCCGGAGCTGTACTGGAAGGTGTACAGAGCAACAGAAACGGAGACAGGACTGTGCCCTGGGGGGCTCCTACATTGCTGACCATAGTATCTGACAGGGTGCTCCCTGTCGCACGTACTGAGGCCTGTCTGACAGGTAGTCAGTAATCCAGGAGACACCCATCCTGAGCAGCTTCTCACTCATCAGAAAGGGCTGGACTGTGTTAAAGGTACTGGAGACATCAAAAAAACAATATCCTCACAGAGCCCTTAACACTATCCAAGAGTGAGTGTGCCCAATGAAAGAGATAGATTACAACATCTTCAATGCCTAAATGGCATTGATAGGCAAACTGTAGAGGATCCAGCATAGCAACAATTCACCAGCATTACACACCAGTCACTGTCTGCGCTGCTGCTAGGACAGGGCATCTGGGAAAAAAAAAAAAAAGAAAAGTGTGGCAGTCTCATTTGGTAAAGGAACAAACAAAAAAGAAATACTTGGATGCAACAGGTCCCAAATGAAAACCATCACATTTTCACACTGACTTTTGTACCTTACAATTCCCAGACGCCCTGTTGACTCTTGGCTTATGATGCACTGGAGGATTTACACTGTTAACAGCAGTTCACACACATACTCACAGAATAAATTAATTCACAGCTTTGGACTGAGGCTTATGTGATTGTTTAGTCAAAGGATGAATGAAAATGAGTTTGTGCATCCATTGTTTAAACTGTTACAGTCTCTCATGTGTGTACAGGAGCATGTGACAGGAGCATGTGTGTGGACAGGAGCATGTGTATGGACAGGAGCATGTGACAGGAGCATGTGTGTGGACAGGAGCATGTGTATGGACAGGAGCGTACACGCAGACAGGAGCGTGTGAGCAGACGGGAGCATGTGTGTGGAAAGGAGCGTGTGACAGGAGTATGTGTGGACAGGAGCATGCGTGTGACAAGAGCCAGTGTGTGGACAGGAATATGTGTGTGACAAGAGTGTGTGACAAGACTGACAGGAGCGTGTGTGTGACAGGAGCATGTGTGTGTACAGGAGCGTGTGTGTACAGGAGCGTGTGTGTACAGGTGTGTGTACAGGAGCGTGTGTGTACAGGAGCGTGTGTATGGACAGGGGCATGTGTGTGTGTGGACAGGAGCATGTGTGTGTGTGGACAGGAGCATGTGTGTGTGTGGACAGGAGCATGTGTGTGTGTGGACAGGAACATGAGTGTGGACAGGAACATGAGTGTGTACAGTAGCATGTGTGTACAGGAGCGTGTGTGTGGACAGGAGCGTGTGTGTGTACAGGAGCATGTGTGTACAGGAGTGTGTGTGTGTACAGGAGCATGTGTGTGGACAGGAACATGAGTGTGTACAGTAGCATGTGTGTACAGGAGCGTGTGTGTGGACAGGAACATGAGTGTGTACAGTAGCAGTGTGTACAGGAGCGTGTGTGTGGACAGGAACATGAGTGTGTACAGTGATGTGTGTACAGGAGCGTGTGTGTGTACAGGAGCATGTGTGTACAGGAGTGTGTGTGTACAGGAGCGTGTGTGTGGACAGGAGCATGTGTGTGGACAGGAACATGAGTGTGTACAGTAGCATGTGTGTACAGGAGCGTGTGTGTGGACAGGAGCGTGTGTGTGTACAGGAGCATGTGTGTACAGTGTGTGTACAGGAGTGTGTGTGTGTACAGGATGTGTGTGTGTGTACAGTACAGACAGGAGCATGTGTGTGGACAGGAACATGAGTGTGTACAGTAGCATGTGTGTACAGGAGCGTGTGTGTGGACAGGAGCGTGTGTGTGTACAGGAGCATGTGTGTACAGGAGTGTGTGTGTGTACAGGAGCATGTGTGTGGACAGGAACATGAGTGTGTACAGTAGCATGTGTGTACAGGAGCGTGTGTGTGTACAGGAGCGTGTGTGTGTACAGGAGCATGTGTGTACAGGAGCGTGTGCGTGTACAGGAGGGTGTGTGTGTGTGTTTGTGTGTGTACAGGCTTGTGTGTGTGAACAGGCATGTGTGTGTGTGTGTGGACAGGAGCATGTGTGTTACAGGAGTGTATGACGGGTGTGTGCGCAGCTAGAAGTGTGTGACAGCATATGTGGACAGGAGCATGTGACAGGAGCGTGTACGCAGACAGGAGCGCGTGTGCCTGTAATTGTTGTTTGCAGAAATACTTGACAATCAGAGGCTGAGAGCTACTTACTGAGACACAGAGGGGCCTCAATTGAATTTCAAGGTTTTTGTTTTCATAAGATTAAAACAAACAAAGTCATTTGTTCAAACCCATGTTCAGCACCAGGAACTGTCCACTGCACCAGTTACACTGATTTACACTGTGTTTGATCTAATGTTTTTCTATTTTCATTGTGTAAATAGGCAGAATTAAAGTGAATATTTCTGTACACCCTCTGAGGATGTCCATATTCTGAGGATGAGAAAAACTTGTATGTGTCTTTTTTCTTTATAGTTGTAAAACCAATACTGAGAAACCATAAAGGTCAAAGGTGAGTCTTCTTAATGACTCGAAACATAAAACTCAATGATCAGTATATCCTGTGGGCATCCCTGAAAGCTCAAATTAAATATTCAAATTACACATGGCTTTATGTCTGCACTGACAGACTGTATGGGCGACTCACTTTATGTTGGTTAACCACAGAGCCCATCTTGAACTGTCCACATTTAAATTACACAAGCAAAGATTTCATTACAAAAGATGAATATCTGCACAACAGCAGGAGCCAATATGTCAGATAAATATTTGCTGCAGTTCAGTCATTTTATTAATTCATGCTTCATGTCTGACTTCACACTTTCTATCTCCGTCCAGCTTTCCATGACAGTTTCCTCAGCAACAAGCGCCCAAGTCTAAAAATATATCCAAACTTGATCAAATCAGTTACACATGAAACTAAAACTAATCTGAAGTTTTGAAATAGATTGGTCTGGAAAAAATGATTTATAATGTTTAAATTAAGGATTAAATGTATTCACTTTGTGACAAACAATTAAAAAAAAAAAAAAAAAACAAGAGGCTTTTAGAGTGATGGAAATCATTATTTACACAGACAACACAGAACCAGAGCAACAGCAAACTGGAAGAAAGTCATCTCAGTTATAATTAATTGAATTATCCATCACTAAGTACACGCAGTGAAGAGAAAAGGTAGTTTTAAGTCCCAGTCACTTTCTTATTAAACGTTCTCTGTCTAAATTAAACATACAGTTTATTGGATGTGTCATCTGAAGGTGTGTGGGACTCGTGTAATTAGAAATGTGAGGCGTGTGTCGTCATACGCACCTGAGCGCGTCCTGCTGCGCAGCGCCGCTGCGCTCCGCGGGGAGCTCATCATCGCCATCCTCATCGTCACTTTAAAACGCACCAGAGACTTGGCACAAAAGGGACGCTCGCGGGCGAGCACGGACGCGCGTGGGACCATCTCCTATTACACCGCGGGGAGAGACTGGACTCAGGACGCACGCATATTTACCACCAGACACTTGGCTTTTGCGCAGGAGACGGCGGTGTGGACTTTACGCGCGGAGCTTCATCCAAACCTTAAAAACATATGTTTTGTTTTCTTAGTTTGTTATTTTGTATTACGCACATGACTCGAAGTTTAGTCTCCAGTTCTGTTTTTTTGGTGGAGTCCACTTTGTGACAATTATAACGGAAAGATGAACGTGTCTTTGTTTGACTTAACGCAGGGCGCGCTGTATAACAGCAGTCAGACCATAGCCGGGACTCTGGCCAACTACTCCGGGAACGCCACGGACACAGTGGTGACCGCGGACGGAGGGGGGCCCCTGAACCTACTACAGGACGAGCGCAAACTCTTTGTGATGCGCGTGGTGCAGATTGCGGTGCTGTGCGTCCTGTCGCTCACTGTGGTCTTCGGGATTTTCTTCCTCGGCTGCAACCTGATGATCAAGTCTGAAAGCATGATCAACTTCCTGGTGAAGGACCGGAGACCGTCCAAAGACGTGGAGACGGTGATGATCGGGCTCAGCTAGGACTTAAACTCCGCACGTCCCTCGGTCAGAGGACGCATATGCAAAGACTCACCGTGTCCTTCCTCACGGCTGCTGCTTCAGCCACTCTGTCCGCGCGTAAAGTCCGTGCGTAAAACACGGCCGATTGTTTACATGTGGAGATGGATCAGTGCATTTGAAATTGCCAACTTGAACAAAACTCACAGAAATGTTTACAAGTTGTTACCTCATAATGTTTTGCGTTAGTTTTTGGAATAGAGATAAATGAATGTTCTTCAGCATGATTGTGAATTCTAGTTTTACAGTGAGTGAGGTATTTTACAATGGACCTGTCACAAAGTATTTTCTGCTCTTTGGGTAACTTCCACTTTGCACGATTTGAACTGGAGTCTTTCACAGCTTTATGGAGTGATCCTCGTCCTTTGGCATGCTCGCTGTACGTGACTTTACGTGACATGTACACGTGATTTTTCTGAGACGTTTTGCACTTTTCACTGATGCTGCATGAATATTTTGTACCAAACTGAAACTTGAAGAATGCAGCATGTCATTTAAATATTAAAATATGGATTAAGTCAAATGTCTTGTCATCTTTGGAGCACTTACAGGCAACAACTAATTTGTATAAAGCCGCTTTATCAAGATTAGGAAAACTGGCATCTGATAATAGCTTTTTCAAAAGTTAAAATAAGGAAATATTGAGGCAGCTTGTGACCAGTTCCTACATTAAATTGAAGAATTCACAGCACACAACCAAAATAAATTTCAAAGGGCAGTGGGACAAATTTTAAAATCCTGGTGTTTCCTGGTTGTAAACAAGTTGTAATCAAAAGCTGTCTCCTGCTGGTGTTTTGCCACTATGATGTTATTTCAAAACTGTGCCTCATTAGAAAAGTGGTCCCTTCAAACTGATTTGAAATTCCTTTCCGAAAATACCCCAGGCTTGTAGAACAGGTCTAAAATTACAAAGGTTTCAGAGTAATAAGCAGCAATAACAAATAGATCTAATTACACAAAATTGGGTTTACCTGCAGTAATATCACAAACTACATAGATTTTTTTGCCAGTGTGTCTCCATAAAATAAGTGGTGCAGAGAAATCACTTTCTATGAAGTGGCTCTAAGCTTATATCGGCTTTGACCAGCGGCAGTCCAGAAATCTTCCTGTTCCAAATTATTCATATAATGGACTTTAAAGGTGTAAAGGTTTAAATGTTTTTCTCCATGGAGATGTTATTGCTTTGTCCAGATTGTTCCAGAGTATGACATTAAATAGTTCTCCTTACATTTATTCAATTACAATATCTCAAAAAGACCTAGACAAACAGGAATTCTGACTGAGTGGGCTCGCCTCTCCACAAATCTGACCTGTAACTTGATCTGGTTTGTTCTCCCTTAAGATAGAAATATTTAAAACCATACTGTGAAACATTCCAGATAAAGCAATAACATCTCCATGGAGAAAAGGGTTAAGGTTATTTGATGGACCTGCCACCAAAAAAGTTACAGAATGCACCTTTAAATCAGGTTATCGCACGAAAAGAGAGAACAATTATGCGTTAGCAGCGTTAGCCAAGTTTAATAAATCATTACTCATCCTGACAGCGTGAAGTTGAAAATTGTCTATTTTGAGGCTCAAACCTAATTTAAGGTGTCAGCTGGGGATATTTTGGGGGGGTTGTAAGTTTAAATTTGACTCCGAACTCCTTCGTCTCCATCTCCTTCAGCTAAGCAAGCCCCTCAGAAGCAAGGGATGTTCTCATTATTATTTTAGCACTTGTTAGGAGAGCCTGGCCCGAGATGAATCCTTAAGAAGAGAGACAGCCATGCATTCACACGTGTGCCCATTGACCGTGCAAAAAACAGACCAGTGCATTCTCACATCCACTCAAAGTAGTGCCGAAAAACAACATTAATAAGTAAAGATCATCAGAGAATAGAGCTGTAATGACTGGGCATAAGAGGACAGCTTGGCAACAGCAGATGTAATGTGTGGAAGTGTGGGGAGTAGACAGGCAGATGAGTGAGTTAATAATAGACTTTTAATAGCCTTAATGAAGCATGACTTAATTCATAATGAACAAATGGATTATTAAAAAGGCCCATTTTATCTCGGGTATAATATTGTAATGTTATAATGTTGTTTCCTCATCACAAACATACACAGCAAAAAGTGGAGTGTTAAAATTGACTCTCGCAGAATCAATTTGAACATTTTCTCAGGGTTTATATGAGTCCAATCTGTTCTAGAGTTAATTTAATATTTTTGGAAATGTTAATGAAGTAACACTGGACCAGAGTTCCTGTTTAACCCCGAAATCAAGAGTTCAATATGTTAACATATTGAGAGTAAACAGATAACACTTTGGAGGGTTATCCTGATTTAGCTAAAGAACACATGTTTTATTTTTACACTTTATTTTAGTTAATTTAAGATGAAATTATGTACAAAACTGGTTCAAACTGGTCTTCTCTCACGGGAGTTGGAAGTGGTGGGTGAGAGGAGCCAAATTAACATAAGTTGAATTAACACTAAGAGAAGTTGAATTAACACTAGGGGAAGTTGAATTATCTTCAACCATATCAACTCTGGCAAATAACCCCAACTCGAACCCCCACTTAACTTTCAAATAGTTAAAATAACACTTTTTGTGTTAAAAACAACTCTGAAATATTTTACCCTGAACTTTTAACCCTCCAGTTTTTGCTGTGTACCTGGAGTTGTGCTTTGTTTCAATCACACATGCTTAAATTAAATCCTGCATATTTAGCTTTCAAACACAAAACATTCTCTTCCACTTTATGATGTCATGTGGTAATACAGGAAGTGTTTGAGCCCTTGTATCGCCAATCTCTACTGATCTAAATGTGAAGAATAGCTGTTAAATGAAAAGTACCACTACATGACATCACAAGGTAGAACAGAGCATGCTGGGTGTTGGAGATGTTGAGAAACTAATAATAAAGGATTACTCAGACATGTGTGAATGAAACAAAACACAACTCCAGGTCTGTTTTTCATGAGGTAACAACATTCTAACATGTTTTAAAGCTCACAAGAGTCAGTTAATTTAAGACTGTGAAGAATGATTCAGACTACTTAATTAATACCCCAACCTATCTCCTTAATTAAATTACAACTTTCAGAGACCAAAGTTTTGCTGTCACGGTTATATTTATTAAATTAAAAGTGTTTTATTTATAGCTAAAAGTACATGAAAAACATACATTCTCATAAGAGTGTGGTTACAGTAGTTCTTCACAGATCTGAGCTGTAAGATGGCATAGTTGCGTTACCTGCTTGTCACCATGGAGATCAGTTTAAAGAAGTACAGTGGAACATTTCGGGTAAAGTGATAACACTCCCATGGAAACAAGCCAGGGGCAGATCCTCCAACAAAAACATACACAGTGCATCTTTAAGTTTAGACAAAAGCACAGTAATTAAGTACTGGATATTAAGACTATGGACCTCTCTTACATTAAAGCAGGGGTCATCAAACTAAGGCCCGCGGGCCAACTTCAGCCATCCATGTCCTGTAGACCGGCCCCCCCAGCCCCTCTGCCCCCCACCACTTGAAATGGCCCTATAAGGCAATCCTCAAAAGTTGTCATAGAATATTTTTTCAATTACTTTTTGGTAAATAATAAAACATCAGCATCTTGTATTTTGTTGATTTTTTTTTTTTTGGTTTTCAATTTAAAAATGTATATATGTATATGAAGTATTTATATTTTTATTTACATTTGCCACCAAATTTTCATCACCTGAAAAGCTTGAGTTCAAACAGTGAAAATCAACGCATGAGCAGAGTACTATAGAGCAGTCAAGGACAGCAAAATGACTAGTGTTAAAGTAAGAAAAGTTGACAGAGAGTGCAGAAATTTCAAACAACAGTGGACGACCGATTACTTTTTTTGTTCAGTGTAAGGAGCAAGGAAAGTGTGACGGTTTTCATTACGTTATTTTCTTTTTTTCTGATCTATGTTATAATGCCATTTCCTCATCACAAACATACCTGGAGTCGTGTTGCATTTCATTCACAAATATCTGAGTTCATCTCTCAATCAGAAAACACTCCACCTTGTGATGTGATAAGGGTTCTACTGTGTTTTTAAACTCCATACATCACTAGAATCATTCAAGTTCTTTCAGTCCTAAAAATGACAATCTCTACTGAACTAACAGTAAAAGTAGCTGTTGGAACGTGTTGAAAACTACTGCTTCATGACATCACAAGGTGGAACAGAGCATTCTGAGTTTTGGAGATACAGACAGACTAATAGCAAAGGATTACTCAGACATGTGTGAATGAAACAAAACACAACTCCAGGTTTGTTTTTGAGGCGGTAATAACATTATTAACATGCCTTAAAGCTCACAAGGATCCATTTTGCATAATGTAGGACCTTTAATGGGATATCTGTTCTTGAATTACTAACATTAAGCACTTATTTAGAGTGAACATAGCAACTAAGATACTCCACAATGGCAATATACCATAATCTCTTTTATTGTCTTGGTGCTGTGGCCTTAATGATAGTAATATAGTCCACTCAGAGCAACACAAACTACTAACTTGGCTCGAGATTGTCCCTGTTCGGTTTGGGATCACGGCGAAGAAGTAGGATTTCTCACACTCTAATTCGCCCACTACGAAACAGCATATGTCTAAGTGTAGCACGAAGCGGCATCCAGCTCTCCACAATCTGTCCCAACCACATGGACTGTTAAGATTTCCCATTACCACTCTGATTAGATTATCTGTAATAAAAGGGTGCATTCTTTGGAGAGGAGAAGCACACTGAAGCAAATGAGATGGTGGTAGCATAGCGGGATGTCCAAGCAAGAGCTCTGGTTCAGATATTGTACGGGGATGTTAATTGACAGCGGGAAGCAGACACTGGTGCATTTCCTGGTTGAGAAATGTCACAACTGAAGTTTCATAACAAAATAATGAATTGTGCCCTCACCAAATCAGAAATAATAATACTCTAACAATGAGGGAGAAATGGCAATGATAATTCAACCAGCAGAGGTGTAGACCTGCAAATTAGGGAGGTTTTATACAGATATAAAAGTAGACATGAGAAATATGTAATCAAAAGAACATGTAATAGATTTTGTTAAAAGGGAAATGTCTCATATTATGCAAAATTGACTCTTATGTGGTTTAAGCCATGTTATAATTCTGTTACCTCCTCAAAAACTGATCTGGAGTTGTGTTTTGTTTCATTCACACATCATTTATTATTAGTCTGTCTACATCTCCAAAGCTCATAATGCTCTGTTCCACCTTATGATGTCATGAAGCGGTGATTAGTTAACAGTTGTGGTTTAATTGTGAAGAAAATATATCTATGTCTTCTAGGTATTTTTGTAAGATTTGATTTTTATATTGTTTGTTGAAGTGCACCAAGTTAGTACAAGCTTTGATATGGTCATCTAAGCTGTTCC